AAAAGAAGAGACATTGGCATGGGGTGATTAATTAAAACACAGAAGCCCATTATTTATAGCATAATAAAATTTATTGCATTCTCACATGATTAAAAATGCCTCGAATAGATATTGAATATTTGTGTGCCTGCCATTTGCCATTGCGTGCTTGCTTGCCTACTCCTGTTGTTACTCAAAATATACAATGATATTCTATATATCATTTAATGGTGACAAATACACTTGTATTACTTTGAAATATGGCCAATAAATATTATTTATATAGCGAATGAGAATGGAATGTGTTTATGTATTTTATATTGTAATATTATTATGTCATGCATCACTTTCAATGCCTTGCATTTGCCTCCGCTCTCTTCGCTTTTGACTTTATGAGAAATTATTCAAGATGGGATATTTTTGTGAATGTCTGCATTCTATGACAACGAAAATGACTCTTGCAGACAGATTCTTTTGTCATAAAGGTCTGCTTTTGTTACTGTCGTATATCGTTTTTGGGTTCGAATGATGTTGATGGGTGGGATATTGAATAATTTTTTTTTGTAGTGATTTCTTATTGAATAGCTAATGTATGGGAATTAATGCTTTGAGGGAAATCGATGGCGTTTTAAATTAGTTTTGATAAATGAAGGAAGTGCACGAAAGAGTTTAGAATCGATCTTTTAGATTGGAGTTTTTATGAAAACTATTTCGGACCTCCTAGAATTAAGAAATGCAACAGAAAAATATTCCGGGCTGCCCCTTTGAAGTTGGGGGATTAGTCAAGGTTGAATTCAAAAATTTAAATAATTTTCATTTTTTTTGTAATTTTTCACCTTATTCAACCTACCCAAAAAGTCAATAGACTCTAAAATTATTGTAATCTAAAAATTCTATTCATTTAAATCCTCAAAAAATTTACAACCTTTTAAATAGAACCATTTCTACAGTTAACCTTCTAAAATATTCCAATTTAACAAAAAGAAGTCGTAAATTCCAAAAAGAATTTATTACCATCAGTCATTTGCCTTCTTATTCGCATTCAAGTCAATTAATTTGTAGGCAGAAATAGCTTCTTTTTGTGTTAATCAAAATTTAATTATCAATGTGAAAATTTAACTATCGCTAATGTCATTATTGCTATCATTGCCTTAGTGTGGCTGTCTACTTCATTTGGAGAGGTTTTATTGGGTTTTGTAGTGAAAATATCTGAGATTGCAAGCTTTTATTTTATTGTAAGCTTAATTGAAGCATCCAAAAATCAAATAAATCCGAACTTAACTAAGGACATGCCAATTCGTTATTTTTTGAAGCATCAAATAGCTCAAAAAACCAACTTACTTACTTACTTCGCTGGCCTTCCAGATCAAATGAGATTCATGATCTCCTTTAGATGACACCTGAACCTGGCTCTATTGCTGGCAACCGCTTCCCAATTGCCAGTTCCAAATGCAATACTGTCAGTTTCTTTCTAAAAACTACTAGTTCATCTGAATGTCCTACAAATCATGAAATCCTAGGAAAATCCCTTAGAACTTCATAATCCAATTTTTCACCCACAAAACAAGCCTAAGTTGCTATCTCAATCCATTTTCATTTAACTATCTCCTCAAGTATAATAAATATATACTGTAAAAGTCGTTTGTCGCTGAAAAATTATCGACATAAACAATTTTTGTTGTCATTGACATAAAATTTATGGGTTATAAGAAGGCGCACATAATTAACATAAAAATGTCAAATAGCTTCCTGCTATTTTACACGAAAAAGGGAGAAAATGGAGGCGGTGTGCTTCTTCACAACGATGATATTGCGGTTGTGTCTTTCTCTAAATGAGTGATAAAAAGCTTTCTTTTTTTTGTTTGCTGTCGCTGGAACATTTTTACCTGCCTTCATACGCAATTTTAATTAAAATCATCTTAAAAATATTTTTCATCATTATTATTATTATGTTGTGTTATGCTTATGCTTAATGTTTTTGTTTACTCACTCCTGCCTTACCTTCGCTCGTTTATTTAATTCTTATAGAAACAGACGACTTTTAAGGTTGATTCTCTCAGGCATATCATAAATTATATTAAATTATATTTTCGTACTTGAACTACTGAAGAAATGCTGGCTTTGCAGTTTGTTCATGCTCAATTTTGAAAGTTTATCGTGAATTTGTTTGCTTCCGAGGAAAATAAGCTTTTTGAAATTTATGTTTATGGAAATTAAAAGGAATGGAAAGTTTTCTTTGTGTGATATTTTTGGGAATTATTTTGAAAGGGTTTTGGGAGAACTTTTGGGTATGGTTTTTATCTGTTTCTTTGATTTTGGTGTTCTGGAATATTTCTTACATGCTTTCTGGTATTTATTGATGTAGCTAGCTTGCTATGAAGCTAATGAACTTCACTAGCTATACTAAGTTTGTAAATTTTAAATTTTTAAATAAAATAGTGACTCAGGGGCGTAGGTAGTGGGTCAACTGTTCAAAAATTCATCAATTTCCTGGAGTTTTTTGAGAAAAAAATCTGAACGTCCACACAAAATTTTCTCGTCCATACAAAATAATACCAAACCTCACAGAACCCCCCCCCCCCCCCACCCCCCAAAAAAATTCTAGCTACACCTCTGTAGTGACCCCCAAAAATGTAAAATTATTCCATTCAAGCTTAAAAACACAAATTCAACCCAAATTTTCCTCAACAATTTTTTTTATTTCATACTTTTTTATATCCGATTTATATAGGGTAACCATCTAATTTTTATGAAAATACAGGACATTTGATAAAATTTCCTAAAAAATACAGGACACAAAGAAAAACTTGAAAATTAACGGAAATTTTCGTGAAAAAAATACGGGACCTGGAACAAAATTTTCAAATTTATACAGGACAGGGTTTTGAAATACAGGACTGTCCGTTGTAAAACTACGCAGATGGTCACCCTAGATTTATATTCAATTGACTTTATGTGCATTCAATTGTTCATGAAAATATTCTCTTATTTTCTCCCGAAACTCATTCAAATTAAAGAGATAAATTGATATTCTATGGAAGTCATGCAGATGGAAAGTAAAATCCTTTCGAAAAAATAAAAAAAATTCTCATAAAATTAAGTATTTTTATTGCAAATTTTTTCTGAATGCAGAATGTGTTGCTGTTTTTAAGATTCAATTTTTGGGTCATAGGGCTTTGTAATTTTAAATTCAGGGAGAATCGGAAAGTTCCAATGGGGTCTAAAAAGATTCTTACACTTCAGCATCTGCCCTAGTTCAAGTTTTGATACAAGCTAGGTTCACTGCAATTTATAACTGAGCAGCAACTTCCAATAAAATCATATATAGTATCCAACCTTGCTAGCCGCACAGCTATGCAGCTAAAAATATAAAAATTAATAAATTTCAAGGATTCACGCGTAATTTACAGTCACACACAATAAAAGAAAAATGTAACGGAAATGATATATCAAACAAATATCAGAGTTAAAAGCTCATGAGCTTTTTTCACACATTTACATTTAGCATGTCTATGGAGGAAGCATAAAAGTCTATCCATATAGTGGATACAACAGAAAATAAAAGAACGAGGAAGAAAGAACTTTGATTGGCTTATGAATATTCATACAAAAACTGTATTTATTTAAATTTTATTACCATCATATATGTGAGCTTTATAGCTATTGCAGATAACCATAGAGAAAGAATGGCAACAACGATGACTATACACTGTATTTAATAACATCCAGACATGCAATGTTGAATAATAATAATATTTTTATGATGTGTTAAAATAAATAATTAAATCTGAAGTATATGCATAATTTAAAGATTTTTTTTTGTGTATGTATGAGCTTTGATTTTCTTCTTTATGGACTTCCCTCTGTGTGGATTTTTGAAGACTTTGGTCAGACATAAACCAAGATTTTACAATTATTAAGACAAGCAGGGTGGGTCTTGTACTAAAAGGGTGGTGTGTACAGCACATGATATAATTTATGATAATTCAATTATCGTTCTTTAGTAGAAATTGAACCCATATCCAACAAAGCTGGTTATAGACATTCAGTCTGGTGCCTTTTCAATCGACCACAGTGTCTTTCTTGCAATCGCAGATTTGCTTATATATAACGTGGGACCTGATTCTACTTTACTCAGAAATATCAGGCGATTAATATTTTAGTCGGCTAGTTTTAGGAATTTTTAAACTTTGATTGAGTGTTTTTGGATTTTTTTTTAAAAAAACCTGTAAGTTAATAAATTTTTATAAATAGTAAAAATGGTTTTGTCCCTTAAAAGTTTTTTTCTGGCTAAACTAGTCACTAAGCTTCAAAATTGCATCTAGTTACAACGAATCATGTTTCAAACGTCCCACAAGAATCAGAATAATTTCATCATACCAACACTTGATTTTAATTCCTTCCCATGTGTCGGTTCGAAGCATGTTCATGCACATTTCTTCTTTATTTACGATATCCATCTCCTTCATCTTGTTCTTACTCCTTTTTTTTTATTCATAAAGAAGAAAAAATATGAATTTTATGGCCATTTATTGTGTGCATTTTCACATGCATATTCATCCTTGGTATAAGGCTTAAGGGGCTCAATCTTACTTATTTATTCAGCTTCAATTTTTTATGAAAGAGAAGAAGAAAAAAAAATCCAAAAAAAAGAACTTAATATTCATATCTATTCATCCATCCAATGGATATGTATAATTTCTTGCTCAAAATCACTCATTCATACATGCATTCATGAGGTTTGAGTTTTAATGAACTTTTTAATCCACAATTTATTAAATTGATTTCCATGCTGAGGTTTTAGTTTGTGGCAACTATCATATTGTAGAGGAGAGAGTGGTGGAAGTGGTATGTGGGTGGTGAAAAAAAAAACATGAGATATATATTTTTTTGCGTCAGAATGAATAATAAAGAATTGGTTGGTGGATGATGTGTGCTGTGTGCCATTTTTTTAATATTAAATATATATTTTTTTGAATAATGAATTAATTTATATTCTTTGCTTTTATATTTTTTTTCAGAGAGCCTAAGAGACTATTTTAGTAAATTTGGAGAAATATCAGAAGTTATGGTTATGAAAGATCCCACAACACGAAGATCAAGGTATGTAGAATTTAATTTAATTAAATCATTTTTTTGGGGAAGTTTTTCATTGTAAATTGATTTTGCTGTAGTTTTTTGGGAGAGTTTAATGGCATTTTATGATATTTTAATGAAATTTATAATATTGGTCAGAAGATAAACTTAGTCGAGCAGCAGTAAGGCATTTCATAAATTCAAATTAATTGATCATTTTGTTTTTTTGAAGCTTGCCACTAAATAGACCCCGAGCTACACCCATGCATTAATGGCTCTACTCTTTGGTGTAATTAGAAGCTAAAACTAGGGCTCTAGTGTCCTTTGACAATACACATCTCAAATGACCTCAAATGGGCTAAATAGTTCAGCAAAGCTAGTATGCCTCAGAATCATCCAAATAAGCATCACAGCAAAATCAATTCCACAATGAAAAACTAGAAGAAAAGAAACAATTAAAATAAAATCTGCAAACTCCCATTTTCTCTTATTCCCATTGGGTAGTTTTAACCCAATTATTCGTTTTTATGACAACTTTATTTTTACAAAAATTATTTTATATTTCTCTGAGAAATGATTCATCATTGTTACAATCTGAAACTTGTTTTATTTTCATTATTATTTTTTTGTCACGAGACACATTCACTCTGAAAAAAAAGCATAAATTGAACGTCATGATGGAGTTAAATGTGAATGAATGTGTCCTTTTTCATTTACAAATAATAACAAACAACAACAAGCGAGCGAAAAATTATTAATACATAAGGCACTTAGACATCAGAGTCATTTTTATACTTTTGACGTTAATTAGACAAATTTGTGTCAGGAAACATGATTATTATAGCTTGTCTCTTCGTTTTTCTATTCATTTCTCACACCATTATGATTCACGCCCAAAATTTTAATCCTCCCCCGTTCGAAAATGGAAATTTAAGGTGCTGGTTAAAAATCAGTGCCTAAAGCGCATTTTAAGAATCTAGCTATTAACTTATGTGATGGACAAATTGATTCAAGTCAAAAACTGCCATCAAAAAAATCAAGTTCTAAGAATAAAAAGGTATGCCACCTATTGCTACAATGATGACGGCGACAATGATGATGATAGCAATAACAGCAACATGAACGAAAAAAAGAAGAAATGTTTTACAAAACTGAACATACATTTCTTTTGTTTTCGTCTTATTCATGATTTCTGCTTACTTTATGTACAATCAACATCATCGTCAATGTAATGATGATGAATAAATACGAAAAGAACGCACAAAAGTCATGAAAAGTTTTTATTATGTTGAATATATGAACATTAAAATATTGCCTACTTGCCTAGCGTTCTTCTTGTTTTTCGTCTCTCTTGTGTTCTTCCTCATATTCATCTATGTGACAAGTTATTAAAAAAAAAGTCATCACAATTTTCTTTTGACGGGTATTTTTGGAAGGTAATTTGAGGAGCTTATGGGATGGTGGGATGACGAGGTGTCTATAGATTAAAATTTTTGATTTATTTTTTACAACTTTAAGTGGCGATGAAGAAAAAAAAATAAAAGTTGGCTATTTTGGGGATGAATGAAGCTGAGTTGAGGCTGGACTGAAGCTGAGCTAATACTAGGTCGGTAATACTAGGTAGTCGGTAATACTAGGTCGAAACTGAGCTGAAGCTAGGTCGAAGCTGAGCAGAGGCTTAGTCAAAGCTGAACTAAAGCTAGGTCAAAGCTGAACTGAAGCTAAACCAAGACTAGGTCAAAACTGAGCTGAGGCTAGGTCAAAGCTGAACTGAAGCTAAGTCAAAGCTGAGCTAAGGCTAGGTCAAAGCTGAACTGAAGCTGGACTGAAGCTAAACCAAGACTAGGTCAAAGCTGAGCTGAGGCTAGGTCAAAGCTGAGCTGAGGCTAGGTTAAAGCAGAACTGAAGCTTGACTGAAGCTGAACCAAGACTAGGTAAAACTGAGCTATGCTTTAACTGATTTTAAGCTGAGCTTAGGCTAGGTTAAAGCTGAGCAGACGCTAGCCAAAGCTGTGCTGTGAATAATTCAAAATATTCATTAAACCGCGAAAAATGCGTCTCTATCTCAAATAGTGTCACTAAATCGGCACTTTTAACTTCCCTTCCATATTCCAGCTTCCATTTTACCATCCCGTTAATACACAAAGTAACACACTAAGTAAGCATTAAGACATGTGACAAAGGGAACAAAAATGTAAAGATAGAGAGCACTTACATATATTTATGAGGGATTTACGAATGAAAAAAGAGAACTTTTTTACATTTTTTTGTGAATATGACAGCCAGTATTTCATCATTATAATATTTCTATTGTTCTCAACATTTACTTTTTTCTAAAAATATATTTTTTTTGTCACCGTCAAGTCATCAAAAGTGAGTGGAAATGTGAAAAAAAAATTTAAAGTGGGAAATTCTTGATGCTGTACAATCCTGATGATGAAGATACAGCATCGTTACAAAAGATGAGTGGCAAAAACAAGATTTTTTTTTAAACTTATTTTATTCAAAGTCACGTTATGATGTAAAGTGTAAGTACGTCAAAAGTTGAAAGAATGGCGGGGATATTGCAGATGAGTTGATGTTGTTGAAACTCATTGAATTTGGAAAAGAATTAATTTATTGTTCGTTGTTGAAGATGTAGATAATAAATGAGAAGAGATTACAAGAGGATGTTTGCAACTGGAAAAGTAATCAAATGTTTTTAATGTCACAAAAATTTTTAATATTTTGATTTTGTATTGAAATTACTGTGGCAAAATGTCATACATTAACCGTATCACTAAATTCTAAGCTTTTAATCTTCAAATCTAGGTTTCGATTAAATTCAGGCTCTCGTTCCAATCTTCTGTGGGCATGCCTAAGACACTTAACTGCTGTCCTGGAAATTCTGATTTCTACGTATTTGTTTAGAATCCAACATTTAAAATATGAGACTTTAGTTGATTGACAGCTAGAGAATCGAACTAAATCAATATATGAAACAATTCCTTTGTAGACTCTTACAAAGCTGCTTAACTTTGATGATCTTCAGTCTACCCAACAATAGCACCATCCTTTAATCATTATATTTAACAATTGTACAACGAAAAAAAGTTTATTTTTCATCATTTAAAAACTCAAACAAACTAAATTACTTAGTTCAAATGTTCAATCACAAAGTCACTTCCCCAAATTAAATTGCTTCTTCCTTCAAAAAAAAAAGTGTTATTCTAGACTTTCAATGCATACAAAAGGATGCTCCATTAAAACATCATCATTCAAATAGAAAACGAAAATAAAAAGCTATTCTATTTTATGAAAAAGTTTCTACAATACTCAAACAGAATTCAAAAAGTAGAAGAAAAAAAATTAATTTTTCAATTTAAAGTTTCTCTATCTCTCTCATGACTCTTAATTCATCTCTAAGGGCATAAAGTAGACAGATAGATAACTTCAATTATAACCTTTTTTTTATCATATAAATTCTCCTTGATTTCTCCATTTCAATCTTCAAAAAAAAGAAGTCCAATTTGAAATGCTTTCATGAAAATTGAAAAGCTCAAAATTCAATAAAAATCGGAATTTATGATAGTTTTCAGTTGAATTTAATTTCACAAATTGATTTCGCTTGTTATTAAGATAATCGATTTAGCAATATAATGGATACCTTTTTAATATTTTGTACATTCTCATTCCCATCCACTTTGGTTTATTCGGTTATCTCTTCTTTGTTCTCCGTAGATTTTGTATTCGTATAGTTTTGAGTTTTGTGTGTTTGTATAGTTGTGTATCGGAAGCTTTTGTGTTTTTCCAATCGTCCACTCAATATAGTTTTTATTATCATTCATTTTTATGGATACGATTTTGAATGGAACTGATCGATATTGTGTTATTTTGACCAGTTGACTTTGCAATTACGAAACTTATATTTTCAAAAAATTCTCAGTATCTGGGGAAGTCGTTGGATCTTTGAATACTTTATGATACTGTTTAGATTTTGCTACCGTTCTTACTTACTTCCTTTGATAACTCTACAGATCAATTGTGATCCATGGCCTCCTTCAGATGCCGCTTAAATCTGATTACATCGATAGCAACCGCTTCAGAAGATAAAGAATCTTTCAAAATTCTGTCTTTTAAAGTTTTTCCCCGATCGGCACACATTGAAATTAATTGAAATGTTTGTCAACCGGCGTCCGGGTTAATAGTATAATAAGAACCAAGCAACAGCCACTTGGCATTGGCAGTCACGTGTCAACCACTTGACCGCCTTGGTTCTAATTATACTATTAACCCGACCGTCGGTTAGCAAACATTTCAAAGTGTGCCGATCGGGTTCAAAGGTTAAAATGCCTCATAATCTTCATAATAGCACCTAGTATACCAAATTCTATTTTATTAAGCTACAACAAATGCGTTTACAACCAACCCACATACATCCATTACCTCAAACTTTTTAATACTCTCTTCTTCTCTTTTTATTGAGTTTGGATAAATTTTTTATACTGATTGTATACAATTCATAGTGTATAAATACATCAGAACCGTTCGTAAATGAATTGTGCTGCGGAGATTAATTGAAAAGTTTTTTTTGGGGATGGACGAACTTTTTGTCTCACAGAAAAATTCTCTGTTTAATAATAATAACTTTTTTTTTTATATCATCTCTCTTGTTTGCTGATTCATGTCTATTTTGACATTTAATTGCTTTGTTTGCTGATTGTCATTGTGTGATGGTTCAATTAATGGAAGTATCCGAATATTGAATTTTTTTTAAGGGAATTTCAATCGAACGGGATATTGAACTTTATCTATTTTTAAGTGCAATTAGTGGATTGTGAAGCATTGTTGTGTCGAAAATGTTGAATTTTGGGTTATTTTTGATGGAATGCAGATTGACAATATTTTAATTTTTAAGGGATGCTTCAATGTATGCCTTTGAACAACAACGACAAAAGTCTTAATTAAAAAGCTTCCATAATCCACAGATTTCCCCCATCCAAGCTGTATCCACACACGAATCGAAAATTCCAAATTATACAATAGAA